TAAATGCAATATTTAGTTTAAAATATTACCAAATTATATAAGTCATTATGAATATTTTTTCTTTTTTTATATAGCTGGTGCATTTGGATTTTTTTAGATTAGATAAATAAAGAGTAAAATGGCAAATAACAGCAAACTCTTGTCAAGAAAATAAAACTTTTTAAAGATGTTTTGGAAGATGAAAACATCGCTATGTTTCAACCAAAGAAAGATGCATGTGATCTATGTTGTTCATATAAAACAGGAAATATTACAGAGCAAGAGTATTTACAACATGTATCACAGAAAAATTTAGCTAGACAGGAAAAAGCTTTTGACAAATTAGCTGCGAAAAATGGAACAATTCACGTTATCACTGCTGATTTACAAGCAGTGAAATTATGTCCATACTTGAAAGCCAGTGCATTGTATTTTAAAACAAAGCTGATGGTTCATAATTTTACAATATACAATCTTTGCACTAATAAAGTAAAGTGTTATTGGTTTGACGAAACAACAACTGATTTAAAGGCATCAACTAAATGTCATTTTTTGTTGATTATTTAGATAAATTAATTGATGAATCCCCAAAAGATGTCATAATTTTTACTGATGGATGTACATCACAAAATAGAAATGTCATTATTTCGAATGCACTTCTGCAATTGGCAATGCAAAAAAAAAGTAATCATCACACAAAAATTTTTAGAAAAGCGTGATACTCAAATGGAGATAGATTCAGTTCATTCGGTAATAGAAAGAAAGTTAAAACACTGTGATATATTTTTACCTACTCAATACTCTTTAGTTACTAAAGAAGCTAGATGCAATCCATCTCTATATGAGGTATTTTTCCATCTCTATATGAGGTTTTTTAAAGATTATAGTATTAAAAGCTACCTTTTGATACAACGCGTCCTGGAAAAGGTACTGGAGCAAAATGTGTGGTTGATATCAGAGTTCTAAAATACAATCCCAATGGTACAATAGATTTCAAACTAAGTTACGATGAACAATTTAAACAATTACCACAAAGACCAAAAAAAGTTCAACCAGTGATTCCACCACAACTCTAACTGAAAGATTGCTAATCTCAAAATCCAAATATGAACATTTACAACAGTTAAAAAGTGTTATACCCAAGGATTACCATGAATTTTATGACAACTTACCTTACAAAAATGATTAATTTTTTTTTTATTCTGTTAAACTATAACTACGATGACAGTTGTTATTTTTTAAATAGTTGTAACAGTTCTTATACTTCTTTGATGTTTTTTTTCAATTTTAATGTTAATGAGTAACATTTTTCTTAATTTATAATCATAAAGATTTATTTGTGAAGTTATAAAGATATATTTTTGTTAGATAGCTGAAGATGTTCTTTTATTGTTACGAGTTTATTTTGTGATATTATTCCTAAAACCTGCTCTATTGTTTCTAATAAGGTAATTGAAAAGACTATACAGGCTGAGTTAAAGGTAAGATTGAAGGAAACTGTTATTGAAATGTTGTTGTACTATCAATATTATATTTTGAAGAGATTTCAGAATATTTATTTATATTTTTTTCTTTTTTATTTAAGCTTGTAAGGTATAAGGCCTTAAACAGATATTACAATTCATATTATCGTTTGATTATCATATTAATAATTAGTAATATTACTAGTTTGATTTCGATACCGCATAACTTAATCAAATCCGCGTAAGTGTTCTAGCGACTAAATTATTATCTATAACAACTAATAGCTATTATTGACTATAAAAAGAACATTAATAAAACTCTTTATGCCAAAATGAGCTCAAAATCTGTTTAGTTAAAAATATATATACAGTTTTAACTTTCTCCTATAAAACTGTTTGCAATGCGGATACGCACTCCCTACCTGTAGTAGATCCGCGGATTTGCACTATCCCCGATGATATATATATATATATATATGTGTGTGTGTATGTATATACTAGGGCTTGTGATGAAGAAAATCGTCAAGCGTGTTATATCGCGCTCGTAAAATTAGAAAATGTTTTAATCGAGCGTGATTATGTGCGCTCAAGATAATGTCGGCAAGCGCAATCATGAAAATTGCTAAAGACGCTCATAAAAAGCTTTTTTTTTTTATTTGTTACATCATTTTTTCTTCAACAAATGTTTGATTTAGTATCATTTGAGGGTTTCTCGCTCTGATACCTTATTGCAGTAAGGTGAGAAGCTGTTTCAAAATGTCTTTGAATTGTGTGGATCGACACAAAGTTTGTCCCATTGATAAACCGTAAAGCACATTGTCGTATCAAACCTTTACAACCTTGTAATACGGCTTCTCTATTTCTTGTACAAACTTTGCAGTAAATTTAAATAACATATGTAGTTCTTGTGGTAGTTTCAGTTCTAAAGCCTATTACCTCATCAACTTTCCATTTAATAAATGTTGACATCATTACTTTGTTTCCTTTTGGAATGTCCTTGATTGCGAACATTCTAAATAACAGAATTGTCTTAAAATTTGAGTTAAAACAAATAATAGTTAATAAAAAATCTATACTATGAACAAAAACTAATTTTAAATATTACTCTATTATTAATATTTATTTTCATTATAAATGATGTGTGGAATATTACAAACAAAAAATCAAAGCAATATTTTCACAAGATTAAATTTTCCTATAACGGTTTTCTAATTTTCTTTTCTTATTTTATTTGCGCATTTTTATATTTGCATTGTGTTTCCATGTGCACATTCCATTATTGAAATTACTGACTTTTAACGACTTCAAACTGCTCATTCATTACGTTTGTGCAAAAGAGAATGAAGTGCTTTTTATATTTTATATCAGTGCTTCGATAATATAATATCTTCACTAAAAATTCTTTTTTTATTGTTTTATGAAAATAAAAAAATAACTTTTTTTTTTTTTATCCTGAACTCTTGGACAAGCGTCATTTTATACGCTGTATTTTATAGTATCTGCAAACAAGAGTTATTAACATTATTAACTTATTAACATTAGTGGTTTTTGAAATGATTTTAATGAGCAAGGATTATAAATATATGCAACATTTTTTTTATCTAATTTGTTTAAATTCAAAGATGGAAATTCTTATTTTATTATTATTCAAAATTGTTGTATATAAGAACATTACCTCAATCTTTGGAAGAGTTGGATGAGGTGAAAATCCAATGGCGCTAAGTCTGGAGAGTGGATGTGGCACCACTTCCCCACTAAACCTTTGAATCGCTTCCTTGGTCATAGTCGCAATGTGGGGATGGACATTGTTGTGTTGCAGAAAAACACTATATTGCCTATCAGGTCATTTTTGCTGGATGGTGTTGTTTAATTGTTGCATCTGTTAAACATAAAATTCCGCATTGACTGTTTGGTTGTGATTAAGCAATTCCCAGCGGACAATGCCTCCCCAGTCCCAACATACATTGTCTTCCGTGGCTGGAGATCTTGCTTCACTTGCTGGGTCGCTTGTTTTTTTTAACCATTCTTTGAGCTGCTTCATGCTGACATAGAGACACCAATTTTGACACCAGTGACAATGCGATAAAGAAATCGTTGCTTATTCCCATAAGTTGAGATCTGATGAGCAAGCAAACTGGCAGCAAAGGTGAATTGGTGATTTTTTTATATTTTTTTTTTCGCTCAATGCATTTGGCACCCAAACTCAGAGTTTTTGAATTTATCCCTTAAGTAGAGATGTTTTTCATCCCTTAAGTAGAGACATTTCTATGGTTGTTTGACACACAATTTCGTGCAGAAGTTGATTCAATTGCTCTTCATCAAACTCAATTGGTTGCCCCGAACAAGATGCGTTCTTGAGGTCGAAATAACCACTTTAGAATTTCACAAACCAATATTGAGCAGTTTTTTCAGTTATGAAACCCTCTCTGTATACGGTAAAAATTTTTCTAGCAGCTTCCGTGGCTTTGGCACCTAGGTTAAACACCAAAAACAAAGTGGTGTAAAAAAAGCATATTTTTGATGACTTGATGCTCCATTTAAATGCTCTAAAAATAAAAAAAAATGAATACAAACAAAAAACCAAAGAGACTATCCTGTAGAGCAAAAAGCTCTCTTTAGAATAATAAGAAATATTTAACAATAACATTTCATATCGATCACAAATATTTTAATTTAAAACAGCAGCAAGAATTTATCTGACAACCCAATTTTTGTTTGTTTGTTTTTTAATATTAAATAAATAAATTTAATATTACATTTTTTATTATCATTTAACATAAATTAATTTTTTTCTTTTCTCTGCATTTGTATAAATGAATTAAAATATCTTTATTTTATTTTTTTTATTATTATTTTTTTCTCATTTTGGCTTTGCAAATAATGATGATTTTATACTTTTAAAAAGTTATTAACCAACAAAAAATATTATTTGTTCCAATGAAAAAACTCAAGTTAGTCACTTTACCGGTGCTTTTTTTGTGACAAAGATTTAAGTTTCTAAGTACTATTTATTAAAAAATATATTCCATTGTGCTTTTACTTGCTTTAAAGCAAAAAAGTTAGACGTACACTTTATGAATATTCTTGATGCAGTGTTATAAGTTATAACATGTTTACAAGGAACTTAATTTTTTGTAAACAAGATTATAAAGAATAGAGAAATACCGAGTCTAATTTTTTTAAAATTTAAATAACTTTTTTATTCTAAATTTTTTCATACAATCTGTTAATTACTTACCCTGGTGTAATTATGATAAAATATTATTTTTCAAAACTCTATTTTTTCGCAAAATAAAATGAAGAAATTGCAAGAGTTATATTGCTTTTAGCGTAAGTATAAGCAAAAAAATTAATAATAGAGTTATATCCATAAAGAAGTTTTTTTTTAATTATAAAAAAAATTAGCTCTTTATAAGATGTCGCTTAAAGTTTGTAATAATGTTTTTTCATTTTTTTGATAAAATCAATCATAACAGAACAAACAAACAAAAAATTAAACAAACAATTTGGAGTCACCAAAACGGTAACGGTCTAAATAAATATTCTTGCGAGATAAATAAAAAGTTTTTTTTATGTTTCTTTTATAATTCTTTTTTTTTTAAGCATCGTGTAACATTTTTTTTATCTTTTGCTGAATATTTTTGATGGAAAAGTTAGAATAATAAAAATAAAATTTTCTTTGTCTTTTCTTAACTTATTACGTTTGTAAATAGCGCGAATATCAAACATTATTTTTATGCAAACTTTTTTACGTAATTCAAATTTCATACTTGTTTTTTATAACAATAGTTACTTCTTTATCTTACCACTTGAATGATATCTTCAGACTTGTTTAAATATTTAAAAATTATAAAAATGGCTAGACAAATAATAAATGATTTAGCGCGTACATAAAGGGTTGTCCATAAAGTACGTACGTCTTTTTTTTTTTGCTACCACCAACCCTCCCCTCCCCTCCCCTCCCCCCCCCCCCATTCCTGCGCAATTTGCCGTACGCTTTTTTGAGTACTCTCTACCTCCCTAAAAGTACCTACGCTTTTAACCTACTAACCCAACATTTTATGATATTATTTTTAATTTAGTGTCTCCATACTTTTATAATTGACCTACTGCCCCCTTATCTCAGAAATGCCATTTGCAGACCTCCTCTTCCTCTCCGAGCGTATGTACTTTATGGACGATCCCTAAATGGTGTGGCAGTTTACACTTTAAAACAAGGCCTGATATATAACAAGTTTTTTCAGATGTGTGCGGTAGCATGTCTTGTGTCATGTCGTGAGGTAGCATGTCTATGACCATTCATATAATATTATGTTTTGACAACTTGGCCACTGCTCCTTGCATGTTTCAAGTTAGCACATTTAAAAAATGTGCTGAATAAACAAATTTTTAAAAATAAAAACTATTAACTAAAAAAAAAAATACAAAACTAAATTTAAAAAATAATAATCTTAAAAAATAATGAAATGAATAAAAAATAAAAGTGTGAAGTTAATATATGCATTTAGTTTAGTTTAAAAGTGTTTCACCTCAAAGAATTTAGAAAAAAATTGAAGTTTCTAAATTATTTGTAAATGAAATTTTCATAGTAAATAATCAAAGCTTTATTACTAACAGTGCCATGTTGCACACCATGCGCAACATAGCACTGTTAGTACTTTGATATTTTAAAGCTGTTAAAAGAATCTGCTTCTTTAAGAGCTACTACAAAGTTTGGGTACCCTGACTGCCAGACAGCCTCAGAACCATGAAACTGGGTTTTAAAGTTGTACCCTCATTAGGAGATAACAGAATGAGTTGCCTAGTCATAAAAACACTGACACAAGCAAAAGCCATGCATAAAATCAAAAAGATCCAGCATTCAACATCCTAAACTGAATACAATGTATTATAAATACATCTATGTCATATATATATATATATATATATATATATATATATATATATATATATATATATATATATATATATATATATATATATATATATATATATATATATATATATATATATATATATATATATATATATATATATATATATATATATATGTATATATAAAAATTTTTTGAAAACTTTTTAACAACATGTTTCATCAATATCAATTGACATCAGGTATAAAAAATTAGTTACAATTTCTGTATACAGAAATATATTTAAAACTACTGCATTGTAATTTAATTTAAAAAATTGTTATTTATTTGAAAATTATTACTAAATTAGTGCTACTTAGACTGTATATATATATATATATATATATATATATATATATATATATATATATATATATATATATATATATATATATATATATATATATATATATATATAAGGGGCTTGGTGATAAGACAAATGTCTTCTTCTTGCCCCTGTATTTACATATGTTTTATGTTATGAATAAATTTAAATGGCAAAAAAAAAAAAAAAAAACAGTAGAAAATCACTTAGCAAAAATTTTTTTCATTTAAAATGAAAAATATATATATATAATACAGTTTTAAATTGATAAGCATTATAAGTTTTATAAAAATTTTTTTAGTCCTGATAACTGGGTTCGTGTTCCACTTTCAGATGTTCGTAGATATGTAAAGACTAATGAAGTAAAAGAAGCTTCAAAGTACCATGATAATGAAGACATAGAAATATTTTCTAAGGAAGATGATACTGAGCCAATGGGTTGGTGGGAAGGTAAAATAGTTCAACGTCGTGGAGGGTTTTTTGTTGTCAAGTTTAAAGGGTTGGATGAGACATTCAACGAAATTGTACCGTTTGAGAGAATTCGACCAATTGGACGATGGTATTTTTTTAAATCTATTTTTAAAAAGTTTATGCTTAATAAATTTTTTTTATAAAACTCAGCTGAAATAAAATAAAAAAACAAAAATTTTTCCTGTTTTGTCGTCTTAAGTAATTTTGTACTTTTTTTTGTAAATATGATTTAACATCATGGTTAGTTCTTCAAAGTATATTGTTTCTGTATCTGTTTAGTTTACTAAAAGTCTTTAGTGGCTACATAGTATATTTAAATTTTGTTATGTCTTGTAAGTAATTGAGTTCAAAATGAGTTATAAATAATAATATTATGGGTTTTATTTTCTGATCAATAATAGGCAACAAGTAACTTTTCAAAACATCTCCTTTACTAGAAGCCACTCTGGCTTGTGTGACTGTTTTGTAATAGACAAAGGTCTTGTTTGATAAAATATATAAAAGCCTAAAAGTTAAACAAATTCTTTTCAAATGTATCTTAGTGTTTTTAAATTCTAAATTATTGATGTTAGTCTCAGGTACAAAGTTCTTATTTGTTTTGGTGTAAAGTATTAAAATATTCTTAATAAGAGTTTTCACTTTGCAACACAAAAGCTCAATATGTTATACATAATAAGATTGAGAAAATTTTGAAGTTTTCAACTTTTTAAATTTTAATTCATAATTAATAAAAAGTATTAAAAGATTTTCTATTAAGATTTTCTGTTTTTTGCCCTGAAAATTTTGGATTTTTCTGTGAACACCTGTAGTAAGCTTTCGCACAGTTTCAAAATAATTTTTTTTTTTCAACATTTTTTTACTTTAAATAAGTCTGATGCTGAATAAACAAATTTACCACTTTTTTTTTAATTTTTGTTATTTGCTATTCTTAAGTCTACATTTCTTTAATTTCCACAAATGAAATAGTTGAAGCAATTTTTTTACAACTGGATGCCTTTCTGATGTTACCTGTTTAGCAGATCAGAACTTAGTGTTTCTATTTTGATACTTGTAGTTGGTAGAGCTGTTTTTTTTTTTAATCTCTTTTACGTATACTTGGTGCCTCAAATATTTTCAAACTTAACAATCATATTGTTTTACAGTTTATGTATAAAAATTTTTTTAACTGGATAATACCTGTTTGTCAGATCAAGACTTAGTATTCTGATACCATGAGAAATAATATCTAAGGCTCTTTCTGCAACAAGCTTTTTCTACCCTTACCCACAATTAATTTGGGGTTTTTCTTTCTTGGTAAGTTGTCTACTTTAGCTAAAGTACCACACCTGCCCCAATATATGGTTGTTTTTCGTTTAATAAAATATTATAGAAACATTGTGTAATATTTCTTTGCATATTGCCCAGTATCTTTTAGTTAAACAATTAAGTGGTTTAAAACTTCTCTGACTAAATAACACAATATTTGATTTTTAATATTTAAAACCCTTCTTTGGAGTAATGCAATCTTTCCTGATCTGCTTGAAACAGATTATTTATCAAATTGTTTTAAGGTTTTTAAGCTTGTGATTAGGGTTTTCAAGGAATGGGGAAAAAATTACTTAATTAATTTCAAGCATTTTTTTTTAAATTACTTAAGTAAGTTAAGTCATTTTAGTTATTTTCAAAACATAAATTTTACATACATTTTTGTGTTAAGTATAACCAAATGAAAGAAAATATAACTAAACTTTTAAATTTAAACGCAAAAAACATAATGCAGGCTTTCACAGGAAGGCGTCCAATCGCACGTCTTTATATGACCACGCAAAAAATAATGTTTTAATGATTTGATCACGGCTTTTGGTATATTTTTTAAATTTAAAAATGTGCTACAAAAACTTACCTAAACTTTTCTAAAAAAAAAAATTGCAAAATGAAAAAATATCTTAACGGAAGATGAAATTAAAAAAATACTTAGTTGAAGCAAAAACACAAATATATATATATATATATATATATACATATATACATATATATATATTTATATATATATATATATATATATATATATATATATATATATATATATATATATATATATTTATATATATATATATATATATATATATATATATATATATATATATATATATATATATATATATATATATATATATATATATATATATATATATATAACCCAACTAAAACAAAATTCATCAAACTAAAATGCTTAATCTATTTAATTTACACATTAAAAAACCATTTCAATCTTTGTTTTAAAATTTGTACTTTTTTTTTTATTATTTAATATGTTTAAAAAGATAAACATTTGTCATAAAAATACATAATTATATAAATAAATAAAAACAGTTTATTAATACTTATTTTGAAAATTAATTAGAAGTGTTTTGTTACTTCATTGAAAAGCGTTTCGATAATATAAAAGTATTTAAGATCAAACTTATTTAATTGTAATGGCTTTCTAAAACTTTTTTTTTTTTTTTCAACAAAATTTTGTTTATCTTTTTAAATGTATTAACTTCAGTTATTTTTATATTAAAATTCGTTAAAGAGACTTTCATTGTTGTAAAATATCATAGTTTATAAAAATAAAACAATTTTTTAGCGTGTTTTTTTAAAATGTTTTTTGAATTAGCTGCGGTCAAATTGTCAAAGCAAAATGTAATTTGCATGGTCATGTGTGGTGCAATCGCACGACTTCCTGTGAAAGCTTTTAATGTGTCAATCATTTCATCACTCAATAATGTTCTCAACTTAGTGATAAAAAGTCTAGCATCATTAAAGCATCTTTCTGCTTATGATGATAGGGGTAAAGACTTAAAAGCATATGTAATTTTTAAGCAATTTTGGGCAGTCATTTGATCCTTTGAAAACAGCTGTTTCTTTTTTGATACAGTCCTAAACATTAAAGGAAGCCTTGTTCATCATTAAATGAGAATTTTGGGCTAGGAAATAAAGCGTTGATGATTATCATTTCTTAGAGGTGGCCTTTTTAAAAAACTTCACAATCATTTTTTGGTTTTAATTCCATCAAGCTCACATAGCTCAACACCTTCTCTATTAAGTAATAGTTCTTCCCAATTGACATAAGTTTTATTATTGGTTTCATTATCACCATTATTGACTTCTTCAGTATCCTCATCTCAGTTGTCACAACAAGAATCTTTATCTTCTACTAGATCATTTGCTTTTTTATAAAGTATATTAACTACTATCAAGTGAATTCCATAAGAAAGACATCGTTGATGAGTTATTTGAGACAATCTTCTGTGTTTTTCCATTACACTGACTCCATTCAATATATATATATATATATATATATATATATATATATATATATATATATATATATATATATATATATATATATATATATATATATATATTTAAGTTGATTAAGGTGCCCCAATAAGTCCTTACAGTCTTATCTCAGAGCACCGCGGAAGAGCATTTAATAGGAAGTTCACGCCTCCTTCCCAACCGATGTCGCATTTATATAAATATATATATATATATAAATGTATTCACAAAATAGAGTGCTCAATGTTCTTAAAAGAACAGAGCAATCATAAATTAGTAGAAAATCACTTAACAAAAATACTCTTTCATTTTACACTGTGTTTCATCAACAAAGATTTCTGATGAGTCTCTGTTGATGAAACACACGCGCATATATATATATATATATATATATATATATATATATATATATATATATATATATATTTATATATATATATATGACAAATATACTAAAAATAAATCAAAAATAAAGAAATTTAAAGATAGCTGGCAACAAAATTCAATAAAGTTGGCAGCCCATAAAAATCCATTGAATTTGACAAATTTTGGTAAAGCAAAGAGAAATCATCAAAATGTAAACTAAAAAAACATTAATATTTTTTGTTTAGCACTTATGATGAACTTACAATATATTTCACACATTTATTTTTAAATTGTTATAAAATTTAAAAAAAAATTATTTTTCTATATCAATGAAATATAAAAAACAGTTGCATATGGTTGTTTAAAAATCGAGCGCATGTTTTGTCTAAGGCAAGCAAAGTCGATTAAAAAGGAACCACTGCAAAGTTGATATTTTTTTTATAATGCCATTAAAGCAATATTGTACTATATAAGATTAAGGTAGCTGTATAAACAATTGAAATCAGACTACTTTTATATAAATTTTAATAAAATACCAATTTTCTGTTTATTAATTTAAAAAAAAAATTACTTGATATTACTTAAGTAATTTAAATTTACTTAAGTAATTGAATCGTTCAAACAATTACTTAAGTATTTAAGTTATTGAAATAGCCCTACTTGTTGCTGTTAAACTTTATTTATCATTTTGATTACGTTAAGTAATGGCAAAAAAGATCTGAAAACTAATATTTTTCAGATTTGTAAAATTTTTGAAACCATGTAATTTTAAACTCTTCCTGTTTATGAATGAGCAAATTATGAGCAACTAGCTTTCTCAACTGGGTTTGTTAATTGTTTTTTTTTTCCCATACCAATAAGCCATTAAGCAGCTGTGGCACAGTGGTTAAAGTTCTCCCTCAGAAACCAGAGGTCCGAGGTTCGATGTCAGCTCTAGCACAACAAGGGACGTTGGTACAGAAGGAGGCGTGAACTTCCTGTTAAATGCTCTCCCGCGGTGCTCTATGATAAGACCTTAAGGACTTCTGGGAGCACCTAAATGACTACAAAAAATAATCAAGTTTTTATTTGATCTCTATATTACTTTAGACAATTGACTTTTATAGCTATAATTGTGATTGCTTGAAAAACTTTCAGTGCGGGAGTACTTTTTATTTAATTGTTCTGTGCAATTTTAATCTCAAGTTTAAACTAGTTGATTATTTTTTCATTTTATTTGCATTACAGGGGTTTTTTTAAAAGTCAAAAGATTCATAAAAACTATTGAAGTATTAGGATTTCAATTTTTTAAGACACCAAGGTCTTGTTCAAAAAAGTTTGTTTAAGGTTGAACAACAGATTAATGCTGTAGTTGTTAATAGTATATACATAACAGTGTATTTATAAGTTTTGTTAAAGTAGTTTTTGTATGATTATAATTTGAAAAAGAGAGTTTGCAGTTTTAGTTTTAATTACAAAAAAGTTATGTTTTATTAAAAGTTATGTTTATGAGCTTTAATTACAAAAAAGTTATATTTCTTTTAAAGTTATTTTAAGTTTTTGAATAGAGTAGTCTTGTAATAAATTTGTAAAATAAAGTAATTTTTTAAAAATTATCAAACATTTTTGTTTATCTTATTTCTTTCTTTATCTTAAGAATATTTCATTTGCATTTTATTTTTTTCTTTAATAAAAAATATTAAAGTTTGAGTACTTTTTTATTCTTGCTTCTTATTATTTGTTCTTTTTTTATTGATTTTTTCTTTTATAGTTTTTATTTTATTAATTTTCATCTTCTACTGTAGTTAAATTCCACATTTTTTTAATGAACGTTTTAGTCAACCAGTGACAAGATCAATGTATTTTAAATGTATGATAGATGTTCCACAAGATTTGCGAATCATGTAAGACATATCTTTAAATGTTAAAATGTTTAAATTTCTAATTTATGAACAGTTTTATAATTGTTATTTTTCATTACTATGATTACTATATTCATATTATATTATATCATATTTTATAATATATTTATAATACATTTTTACAATTGTTTTTTTGTTTTTTTGTTTTTTTTTTTGAATATACAATACATTCATTATTGTGTATTTAAAAATGACTTTTATAGGTGTGCAGGGGATGTTCATGAAACATTTCGGGAGATGACCAGGGCACTTTCTATCTTTTATCTTAATGAACTGAATGTATTAGTTATACTTTCATCATGTGAAGATTCTATTAAAAGAGCTGCAATTTTAAGTGAAATGCATTTTCGCAGTCTTCGTACAAAATTGCTTTTGCAGTCACGCAATGAAGAAAGTTTGCGACAATTAGAATTGGCACAAAAGCAATCAGAGCAAGCACCTATTTATGAGCAACTGATTTTACCTGAAGACCTTTTAGGTTTAGCCATAGGTGCACAAGGTGCCAATATTCAGGCTGCTCGTAGAATTCCTGGAATAATGTCAGTTGAAGTAGATGAACCAACTTGTACTTTTAATATTTTAGGAGAGGTAATTTTCAATTTTTTGATTTTTTTAAGCAGCTAAAAAATTTTAATCTATTTATATATTTTATTATTTTATTACATTTAAAATATTTATCAACTATTCCAAATGTTAATTTTTTTTTATCATGATAATAACTTGATTTATTTTATTTTGCCTTTATCTTTGATAATTATTATAATCTAGGTTTTTAAGTTTTTAAAAAGTTGTTTAAAATTATAAATTATAATTAATAAAGTATAATTTTTTTTAAAATATCTTCGCTTCCAACAAGGCTGCAAGCAACCACTATTAGAAGTGTTGGAAGCAACCACTATTAGAACTGTTGGAAGTTACTTGAAGAGAAGAGATGAAGTTTATAGAGCAAGATAATGATTGAAAGGCGACTTAAAAGATTGCAAGTTATATGAATCAGGAAAAAGAGTTGAAAGAAGTAAATTTCAAAAAACTGATGTTTGAGGAAAAAAACGATGAATAAGGTTTTTTAGAGCACTTAAAAACAATCAGTAAAAAGATAAGACTTAATTGAATGATAAGTAACACGAGAATGAATTTTAGTAGATGGCACAATCTCTCTAGCTCTTTAGAGCAGTACCCATTATGGTGTTTATGGAAAAGAGAAGCAACATTTCAACGATGTGATAATGGTTGGAGGTTGGTTGCAAGAACAGGTCTAACTGTTTACAATGCATTTTTGTACCTTGTCTAAAAGAAAAAAGGCATCATTAGAAGATCCGCCCCAGATATGGCAACAGTATTCCATAGAAGGATGGATTTGAGATTTATAGAGATAAAGAGTAAAATCAGGAATAAAAAAGTGTCAAGCATGATAAAGAGGTGAAACCTTAGCAGGTGCTAATTTTGCAATGGATTTGATATATATTTTCCAAGAAAGATCGGAAGTAAGAGTTAATCCTAGAAAATAAAGAGTAGATGACTCATCAAGTACATTACTGTTCATAAATATAGGAAGATCAAAATTATTGCAATAATGATTTGCTGAAGAAAATTGGGTTTTATCTGAATTAAAGTTCACCATCCACTCTTAGCCCCATGCTGTAGCAGAAGTGAGATCCTTTTCAGGCTCAAATCCCCCTCCAAGCAATCAGAGAGTGTTGGCTTCTTATCAAGACAAGAATAAATGGTAGTATCATCAGCGAACAACGCCACCTTAGATGTGAGAATATCTGGAAGATCATTAATGTAAATTAACAAGAGTATAGGGCCAAGGATAGAACTTTGATGACCCTCTGAAGTTACAGGATAAGAAGAAGAGTGTTTTTCATCGAGGCCAACTTTTTTACTACGATTAAAAAAGAAGGATTCAATCATCTTAAAGATGTCATCTGATATACCGTATGAAGAAAGCATATGGAGAAGAACAGCATGCCAAACTTAATCAAAAGCATTAGAAATGTCAGGAGCCTTAACCTCTCCACCTCCATCTAATGCATGATAAAACCTTTCGGTTAAAAATTTAAAAAGTAAAATAAAATGTAATGTGCAAGATGTTACAATAATATTTTATATTATTAAGGCCAAGTTTTCCAACTTGCCAAATTCCTGAAATTAGCAAAATATTGCCTATTTCAGTCGTTTGGCACTATTGTTGCCGAACTGGCAAGATATTATTATAGCATGAAAATTATTATAATAATATAAATATTTACATAAAGTGAAACAGAGTTTCAAACTTGATATTCCAAAGTACTCATATTTATAAAATATTTCAAAGAAATATTTTTTAAAGAATAATATCCATTATATGGGTGCTAAATATCCTTCATATATTATATAAACTTCTTTTTAAATTAAGTTTTGTTACCAAAACAAAATTCTTTATGACATGTGTGTATATGTACATATGTATGTTTATATAAATACACAAACATATGTATAGTACATATACATATATACACATACATATGTATATATGTGTGTGTGTAAATATATATATATATATATATATATATATATATATATATATATATGTATATGTATATATATATGTATATGTATATATATGTATATGTATATATATGTATATATATGTATATGTATATATATATATATATATATATATAGATATAGATATAGATATAGATATAGATATATAGATAAATACACACACACACATATATGGCATTTAGCAATGCTATGCTATCATAAAAACCAACTTATCTCAGCTTTACTAATGCATACTAATTTCAACAAATAACCCAACATTATCAGAGGGGGAAAAACCTGAATTTTTCCCAATAAAAACTTTTATTTTTATTAAAGCTGTTAAAAATACAAAACACTATGGCATTATGCAAAGAAAGACAGTATGTGTAACTTTCTGATTAGTATATTTGAATAATAGTATATATATAATAAATAATAATAATAAGAGTAGGTTGTAGGTATTGTGATGCAGGGCAACTTTCGAAACCCTGCTATAGTAGCCAATTGCTCGCTGAATTGTTTGTTGTTGTATTTATCCTATCTTTTTTTAAAAATATTGACTGTGTTGGTTAAAATAATTGTTATTTCAATTTGAAATAAAAGTTATCAATAATAGGTCCGAACATACCTTAACAATAAGCAATTTAATAGAAAAGTGAATGAATCATTAATCAGTGGAGCAAGACATTAAGTAAATAATATTAGTTAAAAATATATCATTTTTTCTTGGATAATTTTATTTTGGTAATGAGCCTAATATTATGATTTAATTTTTAAAAGAATATTGAATATCCTTAATTAAGTATTCAAAATTTTTCATTAAAAAATGGAACAGCTTTATTCCATGAATTTCAGTTGCCTCATAAATGGTAAATTATTTTGTTATATTGTTGAACTTGTGTTACATTTCATAGCAAATTTTTTCAGAGGATTTAGGATTATATATAAGATTTTGTTATGTTTAAAGATTTTTGACCAAATTGACCTGAGTTAGCTTAGGAAGATTTTTTCCTATTTTTAATAAAAAAGCAACAAAAAATTTTTTGCTCTAATAAATAATAAAACGTTTAAGAAAATAGACAAAAGATCATACTTTTAATAGCAAAATTCCAAAAAAAAAATGAATAAAAAGAATATTTTTAATAACAAATATTTAGTAGCATTAAAATAGTATAAAAGCAAAGTAGAGTATAAAAGAAGAGAAAATCAATCACTCAATAACAATTTAGTTATCAATACAGAAATGAATGGGTTCAATTAGGAAATGAATTAAAATTTAAGTTCACTCTTGATTTTTAATTGATTAGAAAAAATAAGGTAAAAAGTTTTTTTATAGCAATATATAAGTTCGATCCTTACCACATGCCTGCTAGTACCACCAGGGGCGTGGTGGCCCCAGGGGTCATGCAGGATTCCTGCATGGGCTTTTCACTTTTTTATATAAATATGGGCCTTTTAGCACTTTTTAATCCAAGTATGGACCTTTTAGCAGTTTTTACTTTTTTTTGACACTCTGAAAAAAATCTATTTATCTTTAAAATAAAAAACAATTAAATTTTCAGAAAAATATGAAATACTTTTCAATTAAGCTAAATAAAACTACAATATAAAAACTTTTTATATTTAAGGTATGAGCGCTGTAGTGTGTTTATGCTTTGCAAAAATGCAGAAATATTAGCATAAACTCTAAATCTCTAAAGCAATTTCTCATTTTTCAAGAAGAAGAAAAAAAAATTTTTAAATATGTAATTTAAAACCATTTATATTATAATAAAATAAATAACATTACATAATAAAACTAAAAATTTTAATTTTGTGTTAATGACTATTCTTCAAACAATAAAATAAAAAATGTATTAAAATACAGGAATTATCTTTTTCCGGTTACAATACAAGGATTATCTTTTTCCGGAATTCCAGATTTTTCTATTAATTTTTATTTTTTCCAGATATTCAAGTAGTTTTCTGAAAATACAGGTTTAAATTTTTTTTTTGTCATCAAATAATTAAAACATGAAAGTTATTGTTCATCAATTACTCTATGCTATATTATACTTAGGGTGAGACATTATTTGTACAAATTTTTATTTGTACAAAAAGCAGTGCAGTGTTACCATTTTTAGTTTTGAAATATTACAAACCTCAACTTGTTGGTTTGTATTATAAACTTCAACTTATTGGTATGTATTGATGATTTATTTGAATATAGTCAGTTTTTTGGTTATATTTTAAGTATGTGTGTGTATACATATATATATATATATATATATATATATATATATATATATATATATATATATATATATATATATATATATATATATATATATATATTCATGCCGGTTAATTTGACACTTAATATAAAAAATTGCACAATAAAGTCTACATATATTTAAAGGCGACAAAACTGCGTCACCTTTAATTTTTATGTTGAAATATTAACTCTTTCCCATGCTTTGCATAATTTAAAACAATAGCAATCATGAGACCTAGTTACCATGTTTTTAATCTATGTAAGTTAGTCTTATTTATTATATATTTTTAGAGCACTAAGTTTAGATCCATATACGAATAAGAATGAAAAAAATAGCAATAAAGGCGACGTTTGTGTATATTTGCGTGTATATTGCAAGTTAAAGGCGATAATTTTACTAAGTTTTAGGATTTTAGAGGTCAAACATTTATAAATTAATGATATAAAATACTAAACATGTTATTTTTATGTTTTTTTATCTTAAATATTATTAAAAAATTTAAGAAAAAAAAAATTATGTTGTCTTAAATTAGGTTTTTAACAATGTCAACTTTGCATGGTATCTAGCAATATATATATATATATATATATATATATATATATATATATATATATATATATATATATATATATATATATATATATATATATATATATATATCTTCTATAGTGTATTTATATAAGCATTTAAGAATAACAAAGGAAAAGATTGCTGCCGCATGCCAAACCTCAGTTGATGTAGCAGCACTCCCTTGTGGGTCAGGCTATTTAATAGTCTATGTATTTACTGAAGCCCCTGACAGCAGGCTATTTCAGGGTGGCATCAGAGTGCTCATCTAAATAAGTTTTATATTTATACAGAGCTTGAAATAACGGACTTTTTTGTTTTGTCAATTTGTCCGATAAATACTCAAATTTGGTAGACATGTCTGATAAAACCTAAATAAATGCGATCAAACCATGAGAAATATATCACAAGAAATATTTTTTCTCGTGACTATGATCAAACCCAATTCCTGACCACACTTAAAATATTTTGTCCTTTTAACTTGACCACAGCAGTTTGTTTTCACAACTTAAGACATTTCAAAAATGGGCAAAATAAAAAAAGAAAATTTAAAAGTTAATTTATATAAAGAAAGAAAACCTTTAAAAAAAAGAAAAATTCAAAGCAAAACTAAAATTTGAAAAGAAAATTTTATTTGTATTACGTTTAAAAAAAATTACTATACTATTCGAAATGCTTTGTAAATTGTTATAAATATATTAAATAGATTTATAATTATGTTTACTTATTACTTTATTAAATAAAATAAATTAATTTTAATGATTGTTTACAATAAACTGATTTTATTTAAATTATTAAAGAATATTATACTTAATTACTTTTATATAAATATGAAATATTTATACAAAAGTAATTAAGTATATTCTAAGAAATATATGTTTTGAGAATTTTTTTGTTTTAACTTTTTCTATGATTACTTATATAAACACTTTTAATAGAGAAAAACTTTGGTGCGAAAGCAAACGTTATGTAACATAACTCGAATTTAAAAGTGTAATAAAAAAGTACTGGTTTCAATGGTTTCTATAAGCGTTAAAAAAACTATTACGTTAAATTTTTTATAAAATTTAAATGGGGTTTTAAAAGCTAAGATATTTGTTTGAAATTTACAAAAACCATCAGACAAAAAATAAAACAAATACTGAAATTTAAATTATTAATTAATTGCAATGTTTTAATATAAATTATAAAAACCAGGCTGCTTAATTCAAAAAAAAAATTTAATGCTTAGGCGTCTTTTAAAAAATGAATTAGCTCAAAAAAATGGTTTTATTAACGTAGCTTTATTTTCTATTTTGTATTAAAAATAAAAAGTTCAAAAAATGAAGTTTATATACATTACTGGAATTTATTAATAATTTTGAAACAACTAAAATAATTATAAAATAAATGCACACAAAATATAGGTTGGACAAAATGACAGATAGATGTTGTTTTTTGCCCGACTTCTGCATATATGGGCTTATTTTGCATATATGGGCTTATTTTGTTAAAGTCTCACATGGGCCTTTTACAACCACCATGCTCCTGAGTATGGCGCTTAACTTGTTTCTCTGTGCAGCAGCCTTGTTTGTCAAGTGTTGGAGTTGAGAATTGAAAGTAGAGAGAGGGTTGTAACCATAACTAAAGTAGCCTCTTCGACTGTAGTGGCCTTCTTGGCCTTGGGAGGTCAATTAACATTAGGAAAAAAATTTTTTTTATTTACATTGTTGTTGTTAATTTTTTTTTTTTTTTTACATGTTCCAGAAAAATTCTAAAATAAATAGTTATTTAAACTTTTTTATTTATTTTTTTTTTATTAGAATATGGCTTGTGTAAAGGAGGCCAGAAGACTTCTTGAGTTTGCTGAAGAAGTAGTATTTGTGCCTAGAATGTATGTTGGAAAAGTGATTGGAAGAAATGGACGCATTGTCCAGGATATTGTTGACAAGTCAGGTGTTGTACGTGTAAAGATTGATCCAGAGCCAGAAGATAGTAAGACTGATGAAGAAAAACAGGTATTTTTAATTTGCTAAAGTTTTATTTACATTCAGCTGACCCTAATCTATCTAATTATTTATCTTTTAATATTTTAGAAAGATGTTCCATTTTTATTTATTGGTACAAAAGACAATATTGAGAATGCAAAAATGATGTTGCAGTACCATCTTTGTCATCTCAAGGTGTTATATCCTAAGTTATTTATTTTCACATACTAAGTTGGAATTTTTTTATGATATTTTTATTAACTACTACAATTTTTATTTTGAATAATACTAAAAAAAAAAATCTTTAATAAATTAAATTGTTGAAATTGTGCCGCATGCCTGCGATAAAATAATTGTGAAGATTGCATATAAATATGTTACGTGCAGTCAACAAAAAATAATAGCTATAAAAAATACTTTTATTATTTGTTATATTTGTAATTTGTTATTTTTAGTTATAAAATTGTACTTGTAGAAGCATAATTTTGTAAATTTTTTGGAAATCAAACTCTTCCAACTAATGGAGCTAACAGGTTTCCAACAATAAATGAAAAAAATGCATTGCACTCAATTTAACTTTTAACAGTTTAAAATTTTTATTTGTTAAAAAGTTTAACTTAACTGACTAAAGAAAAGTTAAATCTTTTATCTTTGATCTAATCCTTTTGTTGTCCTTTTTTATCTTAGTCAGTTCATAAATGAATTTCTTTAGGCTCGTGTCAAATTTTCGTTTCCAAAAAAACAATGAACTTTACAATTTTTTATGTTTTTTATCATTATTATACTTAATGAGATTTTATTAGTTTCTTCTTGAGCTAATTTTAATTAAAGTAATTCAACATCTCATCAAGTTCCTTATAAAAATTAATGTTTAAAACTTTTTATATAGGATGTTGAGGATCTGCGAAAACAGAAAGACAACATTGATCAAGAGTTAAGAGCTTATGGAATACATCCAAGTACAGGTCCATTTTTTCCTCCTCCTGCTGAGATGCGTCGTCAACATGCTTTAAGTATAACTTCACAAAATGATGTTCGTGATCGAACTCAGACTATTGAAAGTTATATTGGTGATTTAGCTGAATTACCAGTATACACCAGCAGTTTCAACAACAAAAATCCTTTACTAAGGCTGCGCACTACCAGTGAAACAGAATGCTTAACTAAAAGTGATAAAGTAAGTCTAATGAGTTATCAGTTTCTTTAAGTCATGCAGTGTTGCATTGGCATTTAATTTTATTTTTACATGCTTTTTTTTTAATGTTGTGGTTGTTTTTATGGAGTTGCTCTAAGCACTGTATAAAAACTTTTTAATGTTATATAATTATACAAAAATTATTATTTTTAATTAAAAATTAAAAAAAAAATAATTTTAATTAGAAATTAAAAAAAAATTCTACATTTTGAATAATTTAATGTTATTATATTATACAAAAATTATTTAAAAAAAACTTTCACCATTTCAAGTGATTTTGAAAGTTATCCCACAATAAATACATATGCACTTCAAAGCTTTTTTGCATCATTTTTTTCTTAGGTGATCTTTTTTAATAACACTATATTGATTGCACCAGGTAAACTATACTGATGTGAGTTATACACTTTTTCATGCTTAATGTGATGGGATTTAAATGCAAGTAATTTTATATTATAAGTTGCTGCAAGCATGATGTAGCAGTGATATAATAATATAGTTAAAAACTTAATAGTTCCTTCATCGAAACTGATAAGTTTTCTATACTTACTGATATAATCAAATGTTTAAAAAAATAGTTCAGGCACAATTTAAAAATAAATAGTTACTATCGCAAACCTCAAAAATAGTACTTTATTTAGTAATTTTTAATAATAAAAGAACATCATTGCTGAGACTTCTGTAAAATTTATTTGTAGAGTTTCATTTTTTTCCCTGGCAATTTTAAACGTACTATAAGTTTTGAATGAATTGTTTATATTGTCACTGTAAAGATGAAAATAATTGATTTCTGTTGATTTTACTAGGTATTTTTTTAAAAGAAGCGAGCTGTTCCAATAGGAATCAAAGTTAAAGACGTATAGAAAATAAAGATCTATAGGAAAAAAATTGTGGCTTGACAAAACCCAATTTATTTTCAATAATAATGCAATCAATTAAGCTGAACATGGTTAAAAGTAATGTACAGTTAGAAAAGTATAGTAGATATAAAAACGTATAAATATGATTGTTTTCGTAGTTAAAATAGTTTTGTTAAAAAATATTTATTCCTTACATCTTCCGATTTCGGCAACTCTCCCCTACTAAAATTTGTATGCCAGTATATAAATCAGGGATTATCTTTTTCCCGTTATTTCTTTAATAAATCTTTTTTTTTTTTTTCGATATCCAAATAGTTTTTGGAAATACAAGCTAAAAATATTAAATTAATTTATAAACCATATTTAAACAAGTATGAAATGATTTTCTTTTATATAAAAAAAATGCCTGACAAATCCCAAACCATCAGTTGATATATGTACACTCCACTGCACTTATCCTTATTTAAGTCAGTCGATGAATGTATACTTCACTGTGACTGACTAAAACAGTTGATTTATATACACATTGATGCACTTATTCTATAAAACTTAGAAGAAAAAAATTACAAACAACAATAATAGTTAACAAACATAAAACTACTTCAAAAAATAACTTTTTTGAAAAATTGGTTGTAACATCCACAACACTAAGTCACTACCTTACTTGTTTAAAAAATTTTAGTATTGAAACATTTTTAGCCTGCAAATGATGTTTATATAATATGCACATTATTTGTAAGCACTTGCAAATAATGAATTTCTTTTCAAACATCTGAGATATTCTTAGTTACACATAATTGATTTATATTTCCAGATTTTCTCTGGATATTTCTTAAAAATATTTTCCGCATATTTTAAAATATGACCTGGATTATCTCATTATAAACAAATAGCAGAACATGCGGTAGTGGTGTAGTGGTAGAGCGCTCGCTTCATAAAACGAGTAGTTCCGAGTTCAATCCCCACCACGTCCCTGGTAGTACCGTGCTCAACTCATTTCTCCGCGCAGCGGCCTTGCTCGTCAAGGTTCGTGTTTCGAAGTTATAGAGTTGAGAGAGGGTTATAACCACAAATAAGTAGCCTCCTCGTCTGTAGTGGCCTTCTTGGCCTTGAGGAGGTGAATTAAAATAAAAAAAAACAAAAAAACAAATAGCAGAACATGTAATTATAACTATATATATATATATATATATATATATATATATATATATATATATATATATATATATATATATATATATATATATATATATTATATATATATATATATATATATATATATATATATATATATATATATATATTATATATATTATATATATTATATATATTATATATATATATATGTATATATATATATATATATCCACATTACATGTAAGTATTTAATAAATAGTAAATAGATGCATAAATTTATGATATATAATGCGTTGTAAATTTTTCCTAGCCCGGCTATCAACCCCTGCTAAATCTTATCATTTTGTTGGGGCCAGGTTTTTTAAAAGTTCCGTAAATTTCTGGGGGCTCCAATCACTTGCTAATTGTTTTAAGGGCTAATAATACCAAAAGCAAAATGTATCTTCCATGTCCCCCTGTTGGTCTGTTGTCCCAAAATTGTCCTATCCATTTTTTACTAACTTCTAGACTAGCTAGAGCTCTAAAATTTTGAGCATTTGTGTAATACTGATGACAGTTCATTTTCCCAGTTTCCCCTGCATATATCAAAAAGCAAATTTACTCGAATTTACCAGATCACAAAACTTTTTAAAAAAATGTATACAAAAAAGCAAAGACAAGCATTTCTAAGTGACACCTGTGGTCCGAAAAATATTTTAAATTTGACTTCTTTCGACTTGATGAACAAGTAAACAACAGTAATATTCGTCCTACCAGGTTATTTTGTGTCAAAATTGTTGTAAAACCTGATGAAACTTTTCTTAGTTTATGTTTATCAAGGTATATATAATTAGCAGTTACTTAAAATAATATACTTTGGCCAAGTTTACCCCATGTGTGTGTGTGTATACAAGGCTTAAATGTGTTCAAAGAAGTTTTTTTTTTAAAGTTGGTTTAAACATATACTTAAAGTAAATAAAAAAATAAAGAAATATAATTCGAAGTGAAAATGAAGGTTAAAGTTTTATGACAATAATATTTTAATTTATTAAAACAATTCTATTTGTCTACTTTATTTTTTTATTTTTTATTTAGTTTTATTTTAAACACATTTTGTTATTAATGCGCTAAAAACTGTATAAAACAGCGTGACGAAGTTGTTTAGATTAACTCAGATTAAATCAGATTAACACAATTTGTGTTAATTTAAGATTAACACAGATGTGTTAATTTAAGATTAACACAGTGTTAATCTTATTTTAAATTAACACAGATGTGTTAATTTAAGATTAACACAGATTAAATCAGATTAACACAATTTGTGTTAATCTAAAATAATATAAAGAGCTTTTATCACAAGCTCTTATATATAATATTGTCAAAACATCTTATAAGTATTGTTTTATTGCTGTTTTACAATTCAATACTCTTTTAAAATAACACATCATCGTGATGTGTTATTTTATAACACATGAACATATTAAATAGTTTTCTATAATTAATTTAATGTGGTTTAAATATTGTAATATTTTAGTTTTTACTTTTACTTCTCAAGTATCATATTAAGTAAAAGCAATTACTAAAAGTGTTATCATAATAGTATTAAATACTTGCTCATTGCATTATAATTGCTCATTCCACTATAACTGCAACTTAAATTATGACATAAGTTGTAAACTATAACAGTAGCTTACGCTATTTTAAACTTTGCTAAAAAAGAAAATTATAAAATGGTATTTAAATATGAGAGATATTATGTTAAAATAATTAAGAGCTAATGTACGAAGATACGATTTTATACTAGTACAACCCCCTCCCCAAGCGGAGCTAGGGATGAGGGGAGGGGGTTATAGAAGAGTAATCAACTATTCAAAATCTTTACAATTTAAATTAAAACTTCCTCACTTGCATTATGTTCTAAATCTGATATTGTTACTGTAGCTAGATCTACATTAAATTCCCCTCACTATGCCACTGGGTATTACGGGCATCGCTGCAATTAAATTTATAATTATTGAGCGTTTATTTTTTAATTTCAAATTTCAATCGTAAAATTAATTGAATAAGAGAATTTTAGAAGACTCAAATTTTTTTGTTTATTGGTAAATTTATTATGATGTACTTTATCTATTCATTTAATCAAACTAAATATAACTTTATATTATATAAATATTATTGGCTTTTACACAGAGATTTATAGTAATTTAAATTTAAAAGTGTTTTATGTTTATAAGAATAGATAAAAGATAAATTTAGCATGACATAATTTATAACCACTAATAAAAAACTTAGACAAAAACATTATTTTTAAGAATGGCCGAAAAAAGAGCTATATTAAAAAAGAAAAAAAAAATATTAAAAAAATTTTTTTTTTTTTAATCTAATTGCGAAGGTGTGAAAAGCAATTGCAATCACGATAGGCTTTATTCGAGCCCTGGTAAATAGATATAGATATATAATTTCATGTAGCTAAGTAAAAATTTTGCATAAATAGTGCATATCTCATTATTTCATATTATGTATTATTTAGTTTAACTGCTAAATCCAGTTCAAAAAAATTTCATTTATCTAACAGAGAAAATTGTAAATAAACTTCATAGGAAGTATTAAAATGTTCCTATTAAATATCAAACGTTGTAAGCTGGAAGCAGATTTAATGTGTATTATCAAGTTTCTTTCGAAAAACAAAAAAATTGAGTGTTTTCAAAAAAAGTATATATATATATATATATAATATATATATATATATATATATATATATATATATATATATATATATATATATATATATATATATATATATATATGTCAAACGTCAAGAAAATAAACAAATGTTTTTACAATTTAAAAAACGAAACATTCCAAAACATTTTAAATAATAACATTTCTACGTTAATGATTTAAAGTAGTTTTGCGGTAATTAAGTAAATTGGTGCAGTTAATGTCAATAAATATGAAAAGCAAATAAAAAGAATTTAATGACGTCAAAAATCACATCGTGCTTATGCGTCGCGCAGGTTTTATTCATCACAAGGTCTTATATATATATATATATATATATATATATATATATATATATATATATATATATATATATATATATATATATATATATATATATATATATATATATATATCAGACCTTGTGATATATATATATATATATATATATATATGTGATATATATATATATATATATATATATATATATATATATATATATATATATATATATATCAGACCTTGTGATGAATAAAACCTGCGCGACGCATAAGCACGATGTGATTTTTGACGTCATTAAATTCTTTTTATTTGCTTTTCATATTTATTGACATTAACTGCACCAATTTACTTAATTACTGCAAAACTACTTTAAATCATTAACTTAAAAATGTTATTATTTAAAATGTTTTGGAATGTTTCGTTTTTTAAATTGTAAAAACATTTGTTTATTTTCTCGACGTTTGACACGTTTTGTCTTTATTAAACGAATAAAAAAATTATAACTAAACATTTAAAAAAGATTATAAAATGTGCTAATATTTGATTTTTTTTTTCTCAAATAAGTAATTTAACGTTTTTCTAAAAATTATTTTTCCTTTTTAAAAAGTCAGCTAGTAATAAACTGGAAATTTTAATATTGTACGATTAAAAACTGTGCAATAGCTAATGTTTTTACTAGCGATTTTATATAATATTTTTTTATTTATTTATTTTTATTTATTTTCATAGCGCGGTTGATAAGCACAATCACTCGTATTGCTAAAAAACTTTAACGAACGTTTTGAATAGATTTTTAATGTTTACAAGGAATTTTATTTTTGGTAAAATAAAATAAAATGTTAGAATAAAAATCTTATAGTTATAAAAGACATATTTCAACGAAAAAATTATTCTTAAAAATTATTCGAAAAACTATTGACGTTCTATTTTTCAGCAGCTGTTCTTGAGCACGCTTCGTTGAGTTTCGGCAACTTTTAACAAAAAAGCGATTGTTATTATTTAAGTAATTTTTTTCGATTTACTTTTTACAAAAAAATTTTAATAGCTGTACTTTTTTATTGAATCAAGTAGAATACGTTTTAATATTAATCTTTTATTTTTTTTATTTGCACTTACCAATTTTTAAAATGTTTCCTCAAAATTACTCTTAAATACTTTAAATACGTCTAACAGTTAATAAATATTTTTAAATCTATGGAATAATTTTAAAACCTAACAAACCCCGTAAAACAATTATTTAAGTTAAAAATCTAAAACTAAAAGAAAGTATTTTTGTTCAGTTTTATCGACAACTTTGCTATTGCTGAATAATTTTATTAAAATGTTAGCTTAAAAAGATTTAAACTTTTTTTTTAATCTGAACTTTTTCTACTTGTTAATAATGAGCATATTTAATTTTTTTGTTATTCAAACTTTTATATCAACTACGAGCAGTTTTTAAAATACTTTATTAAATGTTAAAATAATCGTAAATTACTTCATTAAAATTCCGCTCAAAAATATCTTTAAATATACTCAAACAAAAATTTTTTTGCTCGACGCAAATAGCCCTAGCTACACGCAAAATCGCTCTTAGACGACGTAAAATTCACATCACCCGACGCTTTATCGCAAGGCCTGTATATACATATATATATATATATATATATATATATATATATATATATATATATATATATATATATATATATATATATATACATTATGTGGTATATAAGTTATATAAGTTGGATTTGTTGCGGTGAGTGCCATAGATTGGCTCATCCTTTGCCCGGATTGAGGAGAAAAAAAAACAAAACTTTGTGTGTAAGCTATTCATAAATATTAATAATTTTGCTACACAAGTTCAACCCTTGGAATTACAGTTGGCATTCGGCAATGCTGACCTAACTGCTGTCCTCTTTTCAATGATTTAAGGCCAGACCTTTGTATCTTTTTTTTTTTTTTTTTTTTTTTGCAGACTTGATGCCGAGCTCTAGAAGATTGAGGTTGGCAAATTATTGCTTACCTCATTATTACTTTGAAATAAGTTAAAAATATGAAAACTGAGGTTAGAATATTAATACATAAACAAAAGCTCGTTTATAAATGTACATTATTTCAGCAAAATAAACCTGTTTGATTTTATTTTTTTTTAAATCAAGTAAGTTCACTATGACACTTTATAGAATATATTTTTAGAGAAGATACTTCAATAACAAGTTTTAAAATAAGGAATAAAAGGTTAAATACTTAGATTACTATAGTATCTTTGTTTTTGTTCTGAACATCTGTTCAATATATTTTTTTAATTATTTTATCCTTTCTCTCTTCCCAAATTTTTCCTTATTTCACTTGGTCTTGACAGCTCGGTCTAGTCCTTTGATGCATATTTTTGCATTTTTTAGAAATAAAAGATTTAGTAAGAATTAAAAGATGAGAATAAAGTTTTAAATAAAAAAAACTCATAAATCTGAGAAATCTTTTTTACAACACATGCCAAGATTTGCAGTTAAGCAGTTATAAGAAATATCTTGTACAGCAGGCTATTTGATAATAAAACTTTCTTTACAGTTAACTTTTGTTATGCTTTAAAAAGATTTTGTGTGTATATTAAAATTTTTTGTGTGTGTGTAATGTAAAAAGTTTATTATTTTTGAAGTTTTTTATTTCTACTATTTTTCCATTGGTGATATTTGAGTTTTTAATTGGTTTCAATAAATATTAGTTATTTTTCTAATAAAATGTTTTTCAATTAACAAAGAAAACTATTTAGTTAAATAACCAACTGCTTTAATTTTGCAATAGGTTGCTAAGTATATTTTGAAAATTGTTGTATCAAAAGTATTTAAATGTAATTGTTACAAGGATTTTTTATAATTATTATCACAATGACTTATTGTTATTACATGGACTTTATGCTTGAAATAAACAGAATCAAAAAGGGGGGTAGAATGGGAGAGAAGAGAAAGCACAATAACAATATAAATTCTCAATATTGCAAAAATGCCATATAATTTTTATTCCTAGCTAACCCTTTGTTTTGCATGTTTGTAGTTTGTTGTAATAAATGGCAATCTATCATGTAACTTGGTAATAACAAGTTACACTAACAACTTTTTTATTAATACTTTATTTTTATTAATATTTTAATACTATTATTAAATCTTTTTAGGCTGAAAAAGTTTCACCTGATGGTGTTCCGCAAACAATTCTTGAAGTAGAAAATGAAAATCAAGAAACAAAAAAACAATATCAGACAAATCGTGGTAAAGGAAATGGCAGAGGAGCTTGTATAGGAACACGTTCTTCTCGAGTAAGACAAAACAGTGAAAATGAAAAAGAAAAGAGTCTAGGTAAGAATTACATGTTATACTCATATGCATAGTTGTTTACACACATGTTAGTGCTTTGGTATGAAAAATATTAGAAGTAAAAAATTTAAGCAAATTCACTGTTTTATTCTAAGTATTAGAATCAAACCTCTGTTTATTTAAAATATTAGAAATAAATCACCATCTGTACATAGTAGAACCCCTTTTGCGCTATTTAGAGCTTTAACCCTCTTGGGCATTAGAAATCAGAAATCTTTGGCATATTTCCTTTATTTCTGGGTCATGTACCCAGACGTCTGTTAGTGCATCAATTAGCACAACTCTTGTTGTGGGTTTTCTGGTTGCAATTCTGTGCTTAACAATCATCCGCAAATTTTTAATAGGATTTATGTCAGATGATGAGGCCAGCCAATCCAACACTATGGCTTTTCGTTGCAGATATTACTTGACAGAACAAGCTGTGTGACAAGTTGCACCGTCTTTTTGGAAATATTGCTTCACCTGTTAGATTAAGTCAATTAATGGCTTGGGTAACAGGGTTTTTTTCCGACACCTTTATATACTGTTACTGTCTCATTGTGTCTTTTACTATATACAGTCTTGTAAATCATAGACTATATTATCACTGATGTCGGATAGGTCATAGTTTTCACCATATAGTCAGGAAAATATTCCTTACTAGAACAATGTCAAACGTACTGGCACTTATTATCAAGGACTTGGAATGTTGACTCATCATCAAAAACAACCTAATCACAATCATAAATGAATAGGAAAACAAAATTCATGAAATTTACCTGAAAGGTAAAAGGAAGACAGCTAGTTTCACCATAATCAGACGCCGAGAGATAATATAGCAACGCATTCATCGTCTATTCATTTTTGATTTTATAATTTAAACTCTTTGAGCAAAAATTATATCTAGAAGAGTTCTAATACATTAAAAATTACTTGTTTATTTTTTCAATCTTCACTCCAACTCTTGTGCTGGACTGCTCACTGTAAACCGCGATCCTTCTGCTTCTCATTAAGCAATGGCTTCTAGCATGGTCGACAGGCCGTGTAGCCAGCTTTGAATACACTACCTTGAGGTGGAAACAAATGCAGCTTGCAGAAACTTTCTTGACATGTCGGTCCATCACATCATGCAGTTGTTTGCTGATTTTTGTGTCCAGCATTTGGAGACAAAGAATTCTTTTGGCATGTGGCGTGATGATTTTTTTACTTCCTGATGTGGAGCATTGTGGAGATAACCTCTGCTTTATTGTTTAGACTGCCTTTTGACTCAAGCCTACGAATTCACCAGTTACCCTCTGTGTCATAGTCCCCAATTTTAATAAATCCTCTACTTACCTTCTTTTTCATGGACTCAGATCTCCACCTTTTCCAAATCTGCAAAAGTAAATAAAAATTTATTATTTAATATATATATATATATATATATATATATATATATATATATATATATATATATATATATATATATATATATATATATTAGGGTAGCCCTTAAAACAAATTTTTTGAGAAAAACCTGCTCCTTCCCCCTTAATGTGCTCTATCTAATACAAAAACACTAGGTTTAAAAAATTTTGGAATAAAAAAATATTTTAAGGGACCCTCAAGACCCTCGAATATTTAATGGATCCCTAATATTTTCAAGAAAAAAGTGTTTCTAAATTATGTCAACCTGGTACTCAAATGAAGCAAAATTATATAAAAATTTCAAATATAATATTAATTTTGAAAAATATTGTTATTTAAGATGCGAGGAGTGTCTGTTATATCAGTAAAAATTTGTAAAAATTTCAAAGTTTCAAATTTTTAAAAATTAATTTCGAAGTAAATAAGTTTTGATTAAATAACTTTGAAACTTTGATTTTTTCTATGAAGCACTTTTAAATTAAGATAAAAACATATATTAGTTTTATGCTTTTATTTTTTCTGGTTTATTTTTTATTTTACATTTCTTAAGATTTTTATTTTGTTTTGTTTTGTTTGTTTTAATCATTATTAGGCTGGCATTCACAATTTTACAAATTCAAATTTATTTGCTGTTTAAATTGAAATATAAATGACAAAAATAATCCTTTGAATAAATTCTAAATAAAATAATTTGAAAAAGACAAAAATAAATGTTTTATTTAAATTCTAAGTAAAATAATTCATACTTAAAATTGTCAAAATTTTTCATAAAAGTATTTAATTTTTGTTGCATAACTTAATAACTTTTTTGATGTTAAAATGACCCTTTTTTTTTCTTTTTTTCTTTTTTTTTTTTTTTTTGCCTGTTCATTTTTTGTTTGAAATTATTTCTAACATACATAAATGTATTTATGTATATATCAATAAAATGAATAACAACATTTTTACATAACTCTATGCTTCATGTCAGTCCAACAATTATCAGCCATTATGATTCAAAATGTAAAAAATTATAATAATGGTAGAACGAAGATGGTTGGCATATTTTAATTTAAATAAGGTTTTACTGATAACAAAATAAATTTTATCTTTTAGAACTTACACTAGCTTGATATATAATTTTGTTTAAAAGCTTATAAGAAAAAATTGTTTTGTCTATGCAATGGCATGAATTTGCTTTTAAATTTTTTTCATATTGCTAAGTATTTGTTATGCACATTTATTATCTAACATTTGCTAACATTAATATAGTTTTGATTTAAAAACTTATGTGATCTATTGTTAAGTGCAATCAAATAAAAAGGCTAAAAGACTATTTCCAATTTTAATTCAACATTTTTGCTGACCATCCACTCTTACCTCTTAAGGTTGTATCATATGAATTTGTATTTGCTGTTTTTTAATTTTTTTGAGATTGGTTGGTGAGTTTTGAGTTGCATCCTTTTTTTAATTTTCGTATTTTTTGGATTTTTTTAAACATTTGATTTAATTCAATAGTGCAGAGTTTTTTTTTAATTATGTTAGGCAATTTTCATTTTTGATAAATCAACTTTCGGTGATTATCCAGTTTACAATATGATGGATATAGAATAATTAACAAAACCAGTAAAACTGACATAACTAAAATAATTATTGAGTTAACCTAAATTTAAAAAGTTTACAGTAGTACCGGGTGACCGAGCAACACCGTAACGCAAAAAATATAAAAATTTGAAAATACACAAAAAATTTATTTCAATTCATAACTGACTAGAATTTTGACTAGATGTTTATTCATGACTAAGGTTTAAAATTATTCAATGTGGCCACCATAGGCATCATACACAAGTTGGATACGCCGATGAAGGATCTGCATGCATTCTTGACATCTTCTTCTGGAACTTTGGCCCATCCTTTGCATATAGATTTTTTTAGTGACTCTGTACTTCCATGGGGAATCTTGCAAGCCTCTTTCTCCACAGTCGTCCACATAAAAAAGTCTAATGGGTTCAGATCTGGGCTAGATGGGGGCCACTTTAATTTGTCCCAGTACTGACTCATGTTTTCACTGAGAAAAATTTGTGTCTTTTTTGAAGGATGAGCTGGTGCCTCATCCTGCTGAAACACATACTGACCATCTGGATAGTTTCTGTTTAACCAGGGAATGACCTTCTCTTGCAGGAGGTGGATATACTCATCACTGTCAATTTTTTGACCTTTTTTCACAAAAACTGGTGGACACTTTTTTCCATCACTTGCTATCACGCCAAGTTCCATCACAAAAGCTGGTTTTTTTGATGAAAATGAATACCTGATATTGTCAGGGACTTCCTTTACTGTTTTGGCAGTACTAAGGTACCTTGTGTTACAACGATTAGTAACTTTATCCACAGTGAAAAGTTTTTCATCAGAGAAGATTATCACACGCCCAGGGTAAGATTTTCGCCAGTTTAACAATTTTTTGCATCGCTCTTTCCTACTTTCTTTCTGTTATTAGTGATAAGATGCTTAGTCCCAACAGTTCTGGATTTAAGGTTCAAATCTTTCATAACTTTTTGCATTGTGGAGTCGGCAATATTGGCTTTTCTTGCCAACTGGCGGATGGATCGCAATGGATTTCGCTTGACTTTTCTTTTGACAGACCTTAAAAGCTGAGGTGAGTTCACAGGTTTTGGCTTATTAAAACGTCGTTTGATATCTCCTGTTTCATGAAAAAGTTTTCTTACTCGAAAAATTGCTGTTCTGGAGCAGTTTAAAGCCTTTCTGATATCTGATGTAGTCTTATCCGATTGCAACATTTGCAGAATGCTTTGTCTTTTTGATTCTTGCAGATCCATTTTGATAAAATTTTTTTTAATTTTTACGTTTTTTTTATTTCTGTGTTGATATCATTGCGTAATTTGTAAACAATTAGATCCACGGATATCTACAAGCATGGGAAGAGCCTTGAATTTGAACGTAACACAGTTGCGTGGTCACCCGGTAATAATGATCATACAAATGATGTAGAAGAAATTATAGAAGTCAAAATAGCTTAATCACCAAAATTAAATGCTAGCTTCAACATGCCTTAAAAAAAAAAGCTTTTTAAATTATAAATTTTAAAAAGCAACTTGTATTCTTGTAAATGATAAATGATGCCAAAAATTAGTTTTTTATACTAGTATTGGAATAATTGTTTGGGTCAATTCTATTTATCAGTATTGGAATTTGTTGCGTCAAAACAATGCTGCAAAATTATCTTTAGCATCCTCACTTTTCTGAACACTGAACAGTTGCAGGTGTTTGTGCTTCACCTGTTCCAAATAAAAGTTTTGGCAACTTCACAACTCTAAAACCTAATATTTGGACAGAGACAGCCCATATGTTCTAGAGATGTCAAGCCTCTATCAGTTTGCTATCCCAATAAAAAATTAAAGACACAACTGTTGAAAATTCCTATTGCAAATTGCCTGAATTGATGGTTTGAATGTTAGCTCTTGCACACTGTATTGAGTACTGATTGATGTTTAATGTTCTCACATTGTTTTCAAGGCTGATTGTCACTGAACTTTTTATTTTTTGTGTTTTTGATTGTAACAAAAAAGTTTTATTTTTTGAGTCTTTGTTCTCTTTAAAGCAGATGTTAGTTCAAGATATAGTGAATTACTTCTGGCTCTTTTTGTGCAGTTGTTTTATTGTTACTATCGGGAGATATTTGTATCTGTTTTTTTCTAGATCATTTAAAATAATAAAGAATTATCTTTAAGAAATAAAGAAATACCCGATTTAAACAAGCTTTTTGTTCTTCGCAATTTTGCCTTCTGTCTCTCCTTTATATGCATTTTTTTTTATATATATACTTTGTTTAGTGCTTCAAAAGAACTTTTTTGACTTTTCTGTCTCTGAGAGACGAGAAATGCTTTGTTCCCTGGTATTTTTTATTATTGTGAGTGCAATCAATGGGCTATTTCAAACTTGAGGGCAAGAAAATGTGTTCTTACTTGATAAATATAAGTATCAATTTGTCAAAACCAAGGTTTTGACAAATTGATACTTATATTAATCAAGTAAGAACACATTTTCTTGCCCTCTTGTAACAATAATAAAACCTGAAACAAATAGTATAACCTAATAGTTATATTATTTGTTTTAATTAACAATTTCTACGAATAACATCAATTAACAATTTCTAAGAATAACATTAATTAGTTGATATAAAGTCATTAAATTTCAGTACATATCACTAGGAGTTACACAATTATCAAATGAATACACTCCTGTGGAGTAACATCTTTTGTATGCACATTTGGTATACATTTATAATTGCTTAGTTGTTAGTGTCAATCACCTACATAGTTTTGTATACAGACTGTCTCAAATTTAGACATTTTATAATTCTGTGGTATTGGAGCTTCTCGAGATATATTCTAAAACGATCCTTTTTCATTGCCTAAGCGTGAACATTTTGCATTATATCTTATAAATTTGGTTTAGGAAAACAATAGTATGTTAGCAAAAATTATGTTATGATTTTTAATAATGCTATTTAAAGAATTCCGCAGCAATTGTAACCTAGCACCATTTAACCTAATTTTTTTTTCTTTTTTTAATTTTCTTTTATTTAGTTTTTGTTTTTTAAATAAACCTTCTATAATTTATAAAGATGTGATTGTTTACATTTTTAAATAAATTAATTAGTTTGTTTATTTTATATGAAAGATGCCTCGTGCATATTTGAATAGGCTAAACTTTTTTCTGCTACATCTGTGTTGAATTGACTTTAAAAAAGAATTATTGAAGTATTACATAACATTTTAAGAAATTATATTATCTTAATTTTGACTGTAAAATTTTCTCATATTTGCATAAATTATTCCAGCTCCTTGTCTAAATGATCTGATTGTTTTAGTCCAGGACTTTTGTTTCGTACCAATATGAAGATAATTATATGATCACTTAGTAGATATACTTTTGTTTAACTGTCACTGAAGACTTTGATAGCAAAAACAAGCACATCATTGAAAATTCAAATGTATTGTCATTCCCACTTTTTTTTCTTAATGACAATCGAGGTTGTTAGGAATAAACATGATAAAAGGTTTTATCAGGGACATTGCACAAATAGATAACAGGTATAAAAGCAAATCGTCTCTATGCTTGCTAAATTTTGTTGCATGCTTTAACATGATCAGCCTCACCCTAAAAAAAAGCGTCAAAACATAGTTAAACATTTCTTGACTTTTTTTCAAAACATGTATGTAGGGATTTCTAGTTTTCAGTGTTGTTAACAATAACAATACTGTAATATATTTAAGCTTAATTAAATAACTTTACACTGTATGTTGATTGTATCAATATTTTAAAAATATATGGTTGGTGCCGAAATGAAACGGACGTCGTATTCTTTTTTATCATTTTATAAATTGCTTTAAATTACCCAATGTAAAATGATTGCTGTTTCAAATAAAAAAAAAAAAAACAATAATAATATTACGTAATGCCGTCGGGTGTTGCACCATTTCCCTCAAACTTTTGTTGAGGGCACTTTAACTACTTTTTAATTGTAATGATTTTTTTGCAAATAATTTTTATTAGTGAAACAGATTGAAGGGGTGCCACATGATTATTTTAGGATTTCCTTTTAAAAGGTCTTTAAAAGAGCCCAAAAAAAAGTCCTTAAATGTTTAATTAAAGAACAGCTGTTTATTTATATAATATAGCGCATGGGTTAAATTGATTTTGTGTTTTAGCAAACGTCGATCTTAACTGGCGTGCACATTTAGAAGAATTAAGTGATAAGTGTCAAGTTGATTATGAAAATAAACCACGTATGAGAACAAAAAGCGAAGGCGAACAACATCACGATCATAATAAACAGATCAAGTACTTTGAAAAAAATGAAAATACTCAAAAAAGTACCGATAAAAAGCAATCCAATACAAATTCACCTCGAGGACAACACCAACAACAAAATAAGATGATGCATTCCCAAAACCAAAATATTTCAGATCAGCATGGTCGCAATAAAAGTCATCCTTCTGGTCGTATTACTAATAATCAATCAAATCAACCCAGAGAACATCGTAAGATGGTACGTCATTCAAATGCTAACACAACGACCGTCAACGGAAACGCCGTTAATGGACAACCTTACACCAAAATTACTCAAATCAAACAGAAGATTCATATTAACGATGAAAAAATTGAATCTTCTGAAAAATCTGTTCTTCCTCCTAGTGAAGAGAAACAATGCGATATACCAAAAACTGTCAATGAAAACCTATTAAAAAACGATACTGATAAAAGTTCTTTAAACACATCAAACAAAGATCAAGATGTGTTAATACATCAATGATTACTTTTAAATCACTTTTCTCTTACTCATTTCTTGTATTTGGATTTAAATTTTTAATGAACTGAAGATACTAGAAAAAATTTTGTATCATATTTGTTAAATATTAACATAATTTTAATTACGCTATTAGTACAGAGCTATGTATTGTTGTAATATTATTTGTTTTCTTAATTTCTTATCGATAATGATTTTTTATTTTTTACGCAAAAAAATTTACGTATTATAACTCTGTTTTTTTACGCACATTTTTCAGCTCCTTCCAAATATTCTTATCCCTATGGTCAAAAGTTACTCTAATTTTAAAACAATTTTAAATTAGGTTGATTAGATATCTTGATTTATACTTGTTTATTTATTTCATTTAACCAAAATCTTTGAAAAAAGGAGTTGTTACTATTGAAATCAAGTTTAATATCACTCTATTATTAAAAAAAAGCACGCGCATTTGATGATATTTTATTGGATACCTAATTGGACAAGTGGCTAAATTTTTTCGTGGCGAATTAAAATTTCGTATAATAGCCTCGAAAATAAAACTAAAATGTTTTCTGTACATTTTTGTCCTGATTTCAGCCAAATGTCATAAAGACCTGCGTTAACTCAAAGGCAATTTTTTCCTCAAAAGCTCTCGAATACCCGAATAATTGGTTTGAAAATTTTATTTTGCTACGGTTATGACACCTTATTTTAACAATCTCAATAAGATATTTTTAGGACAAATTTACCATAATAATCTCGATGATCTCTTTACCATGGTAACGTTTTGACCATCGAATAAATCAAGAATTCTTCTAGCAATCATTTTACAGAGATCAGAAAGGTAAAATTTGCTTTGTCATTTTTGACTCATCCATTCCCTGTAAATGTCAATAGAATAAATTTTAAATCGTTCCAAAAGGTCAATAAGGTTCGATTTGAACTTTAGTTACATTTGAAATTAAAATACCTTTGAAAGCAGAATTAAAAAACTTGGAAATAAATAAAAAGATTCTCAGTAAATCATAAACGGAAAGAACTTTTCACAACTTAAAGTTTCATGTCTTTCATATACATATATATGCATATATATATATATATATATATGTGCATAGATATAGATATAGATATATATATATATATATATATATATATATATATATATATATATATATATATTACATCTACTGAAGTCTTACTGTTTAGATGATTCGTTATTTCACCGATTGTTTCAAGTAAGTTGGTTAGACATGATTTAGAAGGTACAAAACCATGATAATTTTTATTGATTAGATTGTTTTGTAGTAGATGATACATTTTATCTCGAATTATTCTTTCAAACGTTCTACAAACAACTGATGTAATAGATATTGGCCGATAATTTGATGGATCTAATTTACTACCACTCATAAAAATCGGTGTTACATTCGATAGTTTCCATTCTTCAAGAACTATTGCATCACTGTAACTTTTTGCGAAAATTAAAGATAGTGGATATGATAGAGCTGCGTTGCATTTCTTTAAGATTAATGGATGAATTTTATCATGTCCTATTGATTTATTTTTGTTTAACTTTTCTAAGTGTTTTGTTATTATATAGAGAAGTCTTCATTATTTAGGTCGCAGCTTATAGCTGGTCTTAGTTTGAAATATGGTACACAATAGGGATTTTTTCTTGGATGAACACAGAATGAAGATGCAAACCCAGAATATTTGATGTTTTACTCTCGTCCTCATGGAATTGTCCATTCTGATCTCTTAATAATTTAATTTCTTGTTTGGCTGATTTGTTTTTATAAACGTAAGAATAGAATAGTTTAGGATTTGTTTTAGATTTTATTGCTATATTAGATTCATGTTCATAAACTGCTGTATCAATTAGTTCTTTACACTTTTTAAGTTGAATTATATATAGTTTCTTTAAAAAGTTTAATTTATTTGATGATGAATATTTGAACCACAGTCTTCAAATTAATATCTTTCCTTAATTCTTTAGTTAATAATGAGTCAAAGATGTCAGTCAAGTTAATGTTCAGTCAAAGATTTATCCATAATGGACCAATCTTTGACTGAACATTTATTGATGGCAAGTTTTGTAACTGACTCATTATAGACTTTTATAAACAGATTATAACATTCATTAGAGTTTTTATTTAGAAATAATGTCTGATAAAGGCTCATGTTTTATCGCCTAATAAAGGCTCATGTTTTATTTCTATTGTCTTTATCAGTGATAAGTAAGTCTAAAATGTTTTCTTTTATTTATCTCGTTTATTTGAAAAGTTGGTTTAAAAACGATTTGAAAAAGAAAACAATTATCTAACGTTGTAAGGGGTTGTCCATAAAGTACGTACGCTTTTTTTTCTCCATTTGCAGACCTCCTCTTCCTCTCCGAGCGTACGTACTTTATGGACGATCCCTAACGAAACTGTTTTCATATATATTTTCCGACAAATGTTCACTAAAACCATATTTGTTCCATTTTATTTTAGGAAAGTTAAAGTCTCCATTAATTAGAAGACAATAATATAATATATTTATATATATATGTATATATATATATATATATATATATATATATATATATATATATATATGTATATATATATATATATATATATATATATATATATATATATATATATATATATGTATATATATATATATATATATATATATATATATATATATATATATATATATATTTGACACATTAAATAGTCATCGTTAGACATCATTAAAAGTAACATTAATAACAAAAGTCACGTCTTGAAAGATGTCTAAAATTTAAAACCTCTATTTAGGAACCTAATCTAAAAAAAATCTGCAAATCAAATCACAAAAATCTCACAAGTCGTTTACTCAATTTTATTAAATTTTTTGCTCTAATTATTTGTTTATTTACTTTAGATTATAATAAATATAAGGCATTTAAATATCATTGAATAACATAAAAAAATAAGTTGTTGATTTATATGAGTTATTTACACTGGCATCCTTGCGGCTCTTGCTAAGTTTTTTAAGAATTATTTAAGGAAAAATGGTTCTCTACTTAACACTGGTTACGTGTTAAGTAGAGAGCCATTTTTCCTACTCTATACAGGCTGTAAGCGCTACTGGGAATGTACAGAGCCAATTAAATGCATTTCTCTCATTAAGGCTGGAGCTTCGTTGTAACAGATTACATTCGTTATCGTATTCCTTACCGCGACAGTTTCGAATATCCAAACTTAGCCTGACAATCACATTAGTAATAAGATCGGCTATATGGACTCTCCTTGCAGCCTTGCTCCACATGAATCGTTTATTAATTTGCTAGCAATTAGCTTCTTTTTTATAGACAAGTAAACGAATAAATAAAGTTATTTTCTTAGTGTGAGTTATGTCGGGGGTACCGTCAACTATGATAATGAAGTAGGTAGCATCTTGGTTTCCTTTGACAGCTACATTTCGAATAAAAATGCCACATTCTCTGATAAACTCATTTTAAGATAACGGAGAGAGATAATTGTATATACATTCTTTAAACTCTGACAGGAGCAAGCAAAAGACAATACATCTTATCACCTTGCTCCTTAAGTACCGAGATTTTCTTTACTTACACGTTTAAATTTATAAAATATGTAACAATAAAATTAGTTTTTACACATTTAAGAGTTAAACATACACATACTTATTAGTAAATGTATACTGAAATAAATAAACGCATAAAAAAACGAGTTAAAAATACAATAAAATGTTTTTATTGGTTAGATTTAACAAATGTTGTTTCACAGTTTTTTTTAAATGCTTTAATTGTGTTTATAGTTTATTCATTATTTAATTGTGTGTAATGTTTATTCATTATTCAAGATCGAGTTCCACAAAGGTGGACACCGACAAGTAATTGAGTAGTCCGATTTTTTAAGTGTTGTTGACGGAATGTAAATATTTTTAATGGAATGCCTTGTTAAGTACCTTTGTTAATTAAAGGGAAATGAGGCTGAAAATATGGCAGAATCATGTTATTGTAATTTATTATAAGTTTAAACATAAACAATAAATTTTGATAAATATGTAGTTTGTGTACATTTAAAGTATTAATTTCTTTTAGTAAAGGCTTGGCGTATGCATATCTATTTGCGTTTAAAACTAACTGAGTCGCATGCTTTTGTTTGCTATAAAATTTTTTTTAATGAAGACTACTGATTACTTGCCCAAGCTATATTAGAGTAACTAATATAGCTATGGATAAATGAAAAATATAAACTTTTTAAGCACATTTTATTAAAAAGGTGCCTCGTTTTGAACATGATCCTTAAAGTTGAAGAGATTTTATTTTCTATTAATTGAATATGGTTTTCCCAATTTAAATGTTCATCAAATAATATGCCTAAAATTTTTAATTTCTTCAACAAGCACGTCGTTAATCTATAGAACGCATTGCCAAACAAAGTTGTTAGCTATCAGTGTCAACTACTTACCACCAAAATTACCACAGCGCACTACCATCCATGGAATCAAGCAAAGACTCCACAGAGCTAGCCTAGCTAGCTGTTGATGGGCTTAAGGGATTATTTCCCGGTTCCGAATAATTTAACTATTATTAAATCATTTTTTTCGTAAAAATAGTTGTTTGTTTTTAAATTAGACATTAAAGATATTATGATGAAAAAATGAAAAAACAAGGTACAAATGAAATGAAACAACTCGTACAAACAAATAAAAAAACTAGTAAAAAATTATTTTTTTACTTTCTGAGGTTTAACAGGAGGTCAAAGTTTATCATGATATTTTTTTCGCTCATTACATGGATTTTAATGTTATCTATAAATTTAATTAATTTTCATTTTGTGCTATTTTTACAATTCGTGCATTTTTGTTTGAATACTAAAGTTTAAATCACAAATAAAAATTTTTTCAAAGACTTTGTCAATTAGAGAAAGAATCTTTCAGCTTCAAAAATGTTTATAAAATTTTTCAGTGAAAAATGTTCTCAATAAAAAGAAGCGATGTGCAAAAACATCGCAAAAATGTCTTTCAAATTTGTAAACAAATAAAACATTTTCAAAGAAGGTTATTGAAATTCAATCCTATTTTCCACGTAATCAATAAGGGATCATTCGTGGACGTCCGTGGACAATGCCTAATGTATTTTGAGAGAGAATAACGCTTTATTTGATTAGTTGTTGTATAGATCCAACAATCAAAGTTAAGAGATGAATGAGAG